AGAAAGAAAGAAAGAAAGAAAGAAAGAAAGAAAGAAAGAAAGAAAGAAAGAAAGAAAGAAAGAAAGAAAGAAAGGAATTGGGACAGTCCTTCTTAGACAACCTACTAAACTGCAAGAAGCCAAGTCCCTAGAATCACCTCCTAAAACAACAGTGATGGAGGAGGATGATCTGAATGAACCCCTCTCTTAGTGTGAAGTTGCTGTACCAAGACCATTTGCTACCCAAAGTGTACACCTAAATGATGTCCCCCCTGCATACACCAAAACTTGCCTCGATTCAGGTAACAATTACTGCCTTCTTTCCTTTCCTACAACAAAGTACAACATGGAATACATTGTTTTTCATGTGCAGTATAGAAATAAAGACATTAAAGTCATAGACTGGAAGCTATGGAGGATTCTGGATTTGCAGTCGGAAAAACAAAGCTGCTCCAAGTTCTGGCTGCAAGGGAGGATCAGCCTTGTTGAACGAGTCCCTTACTGTGGTCATCCATGCATTGCCCAGTAGGAGAAGCCAAGGTATGTGGCTTGTATCTTCTTCCTCTCCATTTTGTTCTTGTTGTCATTGCTCACTCATGTGGATAGGGCAAATGAATAGGCAGCAAAGGGTGAGGAGGAGGAGGAGATCAAGGGGGAGGTCAATGAGATCTCTGGGAGGGTGCTTGCCTAACAATTTCTGTGCTGCCACTGTACTGTTGCCACAGCTACAAACCTCATGTCAGCACTAAACTACACTAAGAAAACAGACTGTCATGAATCCGGAAGATCAATGTCACTAGGATGCCTTAAAAAGCCATTGCGTAATTTCTCCCTGGTTTTCCTGCAAGGGGCAGTTAGGCATAGATGTAACTCAAAACTCATCACCCTCATCTTCAACCCGTTGGCCAGTTGCTACTGATTTCCACAGTCAGGCCTCTCTGGAAGTTATTTATCTCATTTTCCTTACTGAGAGAGTTCAAACATGTATGTACACTTCTCCCTTGAACTTCACTGGTTTGAGCAGCACTGTTTTTATTATATATGGATTTTTAAAATAAATAAATAAATATCCAATAAGTGAATACTCAATAAATACTGTGCTGCTGCTTGTCTCCAGGAAGTGGCCTGAGAAAGGTGGTTTTCAGACTTAGCAAGGCCCCTCATGTTGGCAGTGCAATGGCTCCCAATCTGATGGTGATGGGCTGGCTGGCCTCCTGGCATAGTAGCTCCATGTGGCACCTGAGGAGGGTGCTGGCACATGTCAGGAGACTGACACAGGTTGGGGGAGGTCACAGCAGCAAGCTGCTCCATTGTGGGGGAAAGAGACCATGCTTCTGTTTTTCCCCTCTGGTAGAGGCTTTTCTGTCCTTTAGCTGCCTTCAGGTGTGTATGAAATATGAAGCCAATGTTATCCTGGCGAAGCAACATGCCTTCCACACTTGCCATTCATTATTTGACATTGCTGTCCTTGTGGGATGAACATGCATATTCAAATTTAGCAATATAACTAATATCTCAAGGGAAAAATCATTGATTTCTTCTCAAGGGACTCTCTAGTGTCCATGAAATCTCCTGCAAGATTCTTCTCTCTTCAAATGCAATCAAACATGTTTTTGAACACTCTCTCTCTCTCTCTCTCTCTCTCTCACACACACACACACACACACACACACACACACACACACACACACACACGGGTAGGGGAGATAAGAAACAATGATACTGGTGCACAGACAGCACTGTCTGGAGATTAATAGATAGTGTGTTTTGCTGTTTTGTTTCTAATCTATCAGGCCCTCAAAACCATGTCCTCAGTATAATTAAAATAAGCGAATCTCTCCATTGTGCTTGAGAAGAACAGAGTTCCTCTCAGGACTGAGTCTCCATCTGTGTCATATATGCAATTATTAATAACTTCTAGAACCAAGAAAATTAAGTGGGGGAAATGTCCTCAGCACTGAAGGCTGTTTAAGAAATAAGTCACAAGCCTGTGGGCAGTGACTGATTTGCCTGAAAATTAGCACAACCTGATGTGTTTCATTTTGATGTCTCTCATAACAATGAGGCATGAAGCAATTAGTTTTTATAAGGACCTTCCTGTGTTGAATAGGAAAATCTGCAAGGTGTTTCTGCTTCTGTGTAGTGTAACACAGAAACCTCCACACAATCTCAAAAGCTGTTTCATGAAAGTTTCCACTTGCATGGAAACTGTTCTAATCAAGTTCAGCCAAACATAAACAGGAACCTTTTAAAGGCCTTCCTGCTCAATGTGAGAAGGCCTTGAAGAATTCATGTTTCTGGAGACATTAGTGCAGAGGATTTTTGGTAGATCCTATGTTTACATAAGCTTAGGTGGCTCAATAAAGTAGATCTACTATCTCTTACATACTGGCTCAAACATATGGATTGCTCCTCCTCACCACTGGTGTGGTTTTTTTCAGTGCCATCATAAAACATTTCTAAGTAGTGCCTGTATTGATTGGGTGGGGAGAGACAGCAAACAAGTCAATGTGATAACAAGCCAGGATGATTTCACAGAGCCTAATTCCTGCCCAGTTGTACTATAGAAGATGGATCTTTTCTTGTCTTTTTTGTTTTAAAGCCTTCATTAAATTCACATTATATCTTTCCCTTGACACATCAGCATTCATGACTATTTGTAGAATCGTCGACAGGGATAAATCATATTCTCTTATGAAAATCTTCTATTGGTAAGGAACGTCTTCCCCCCTACCCCCAGGACAAATTATTAATGGTCTTTACAAAAGCTTCTTTACAGATGCTTCCCTGCAAATACATTTGGTCCAATCCAATGTTTGTTTGAGCAAAAGACAAAATCAACATTTGTGTGCCTGCAAAGAATTGCAAAACTGAACCCTGTTCTGTGATATTTCCCATTTCAACCCATTATATCCATGAGGCAAGCCAAGATTCAGTACTTTAAAATGGCTTCCTTCACCATCTGAGGGAACATCAGGATTGGACACTACAGAGAAAACAGGTCCGGCAGCTTAGTTCCTGCACCCACACTCAAAAACAAAAAGCCAAACATGGCCACATTTTGAAATGTATAATGCATACCAGTACTTTAAAATCAGTTTTCCTACATGGTCCTCAGTTGTTTCTTGTCTGTCCCCTAAAGCAAGTGGGGCCCCACTCTTTTTTGTTCCCCATAGTGCTGCATCTCATCTGGCCTTCAGTGCTACTCTTCAGATTATAAAGATATCATCTGACCTGCTGCTGATAATGGCTGGTAAGCAGCAGATACAGTGGAGGGTGCTGGAGGACAGGAACACACTGTGTGCATGTGACAGATATGTATGGGGACAAAATATCAATAGTATGTGAGTGGATGAGCATATGTGCAGATAAGCGCTCGTACATATGCATGTCTCTACTGTCTAGGTAACATTGAATATGGCCTCAGGGCTTGAAAAGTTGTAAACCATTTCCCTATTTTGTCACTGGGAGCTGGAAGTGCCGCCTTTCCTCATTGACCTCCTTCAGACACAGCTGGCTGCACCACCTCTTATTTGTAAACCACTGCATTCCAGCATCCCTTGTTAAATGTATGCTATGTATGCAAAATATGCTCTTGCCATTCTGAAGGATCCCTTCTTCCTTCTTTCCAGGACATTGTATGGGTCAGCCAGGGTGGACTGTTATTTATCGAGAACAGGTCTGGATATTGACTGCAGCAACAGAAGTCACTTTTTCTTGCTGGAACTAAAGCTGCCTCCTCAGCTTCCTTACTCCTCACCCTGGCCCCCTCACGGCAAAGCCAGTATCAGTCCACCAAAACACGCCTGCCACACCTCTGCAAGTGAATATATGGCCTTTAAATAACACTATAGACTGCAGCAGATAAATCACCCAGCCTCTTTCCTCCTATTTTATCGTTCCTGCTTAATAAAAACTCAGCCATGGATCCTTACCGTTTTATTGCTTCTTCTTGTTTCCGGCGCTTTTCATTCTTTTCTTTCAAGTAAGCCAGGTTCGTTTCATTCCTCATGCGATCGTTCTCTCGAGCTATGTCAGAGGCATTCTGTATAACCAAGCCATCATAGGCCTTCATGCCCATATCTTCAATATACTGGAGAAAAGTGCCCAAAGTGACCTCCTCCTGATTAGAACTCATCATCTTGTAGGAGATAATAAACAGAGGAAAATACTTCCTGTGGATTGACAGAGAAAGAAAATGGAAGTCCATTCAGCTAAAGCACATGCAGTTTACTTGTTTCTTCTTTTAAAGTCAGCATGAAATAAATGCATTTGAAATGGCTCAATATTTTCAAGTATAATGCTTTTCAAGTGTGGACAATTGCAGGATGTTCAGTTTTCATAATATTCTAAGGGCAACCTAAACTCTTCCTACCCCTGGCAACCTGAGGACCAGACATAAGGTGGGGAAGGAGCACTTCACCACCAAAACAATGGGTGAAAAGGTGTTTACCCTTTCTTGCCTCATCAGCTGCCCATGGTCCCTAAACCATCTTGCAGCTATGATTAAATATCGGGTTTGTGGCTCTAATAGCAAGAGTGTCCTCCCCCTTCCCCTTTTCCTATCTTAGGTTGCTCAGGTAAAAGTAAAGGTAAAGGTTCCCCTTGACAATTTTTGTCCAGTCGTGTTCGACTCTAGGGGGCAGTGCTCATCCCCATTGCCAAGCCATAGAGTCAGCGTTTTGTCCAAAGACAATCTTCCGTGGTCACAGGGCCAGTGCGACTTAGACACGGAACGCTGTTACCTTCCCACCGAGGTGGTCCCTATTTATCTACTTGCATTTGCATGCTTTTGAACTGCTAGGTTGGTGGGAGCTGGGAAAAAGTGACGGGCGCTCACTCCGTCATGTGGATTCGATCTTACGACTGCTGGTCTTTTGACTCTGCAGCACAGGCTTCTGCGGTTTAGCTTGCAGTGCCACCACGTCCCTCAGGTTGCTCAGACTGAAACCTAATTAAGTGTTCTGGAGAACCTAAAAGCATGCTGACTTCAATTAGTTTGGTTGGTCCTAGTTAAAGCTATTGCCTAACCATAGATTTTAAGTTTGTTTTCATACTGCTTTCCTCTGCATTTTGGACTTTTTCAAATTAGGTCTAAATTTAGAATAAGCATGTTTTTTGTTTGTTTGTTTCCTTAAGTACATTAATTCACAAGACACAGTTTTTCAGGCTTTTAGAGAAGTATTAATATACAGGTGTAGTACTGATATTTGGATGGTGGCTTTGATCCAATTAACTGTTCACACCCAGGTCCGGATGTGCAGTTGGGTTTACTGGGTCATCTTTATTTCAATCGTTTCCTGTACATTATGCAAAAATCTCTAAACCTCCTCATAAGCAGAAAATGCAACATTGGGGTTTCAGAACAAAGAACTGAATTCCTCGAAGAATCAGAAAGTCCCCAAAGGATCTTAAAAAATGAAATTTTATTTCTGCATACATTTATTCATTGTAAGCACAAGGAGAGCATTGAGCAACCTCAGTGAATGAGCTTTCTCAGCCAAGCTACAAATACTCTAATGTGTGCTTAGTGGAACAGACATGAGACCTAAGGGTGAAAAGATGGGAAAGGTTTGTTTGTCTCGTGATCATGTTTTATGGTGTTATAATGTCAACAAAACAATGTAACCTCATGCTTTTTCAAATTATGCAGTAGTAAGAGTTATTGGATTGGATCCAAATAACATACTACATAAATGGTTGGTTTTTATGTTCATATGCTGTTATTTTTGCTCCAGCACAGTGCCCTTTCTCCAAAGTAGCTCCATAAGATAGGGGAAACCCTTTGGAACCACTTCTCAGAGAACATAGAGGACTACAGCTGAAGTGATACTGTTATCTTCCCTGCACTAACAAGGTAGCTTACATGCAAAGAGAGATGTTATAATTTTCTTTAAACTGATGTTATCACGTAAACATAATCAGCTAATGGGAGTCCATTTCTCTAGATTTGTGACCTATCTTTCCTCCCAAAAATCTGAGATGCTGGTTTTGATGTAGCAATGTGTGTGAAGCCTCAGCATTTAAATTCAAAATTCTGCCTGACATTAGGTGCTGGAGAAACTGTCTTTATATCCACAGTAGTGATGAAATGTGATCATACATTCAGATCTTAAGTCAATGAAAATCAAACCAACAAGAAAAGTAAAAACAAGCAAGGCAGCTAAACTGCAAATTTCATGTAATGCCTTAACCTCATATCATAACCAGCAATAATATAAACAATCCTTTCTAGAGAACTCTTGGAGTGTCCAGAAGGCTTCACATTTCTCAATAACCCCTCCTACTCCAAAGTAGGTCAGTATGATCATGTTCTCTGCCTTACAGATGGGGAGCTGAGATTGTTTACATTCATTACCTAGTGGCTGAAATGAGATTAGAGCCAGGGTTCTAAGCTCTGTCGCTTAATCACTTTGCTACACAAGTTCCCCAATATAATGTAGCACTCATCAAGGAGCATATCACAAATTGATTATTCTAGTAATCTGCACTTATTTGAATGTAGGCTGTATTGATTTTATTAACATTACTGGGTGCATTTGTTTTTTTTAAGATATGTCATATGTATTGGTCTGCAGCATCATTGTATTTCATCTCACATAGCTTTGTTCTTATCGCATAAAAGCAGGGCCTGCAACAAAATGATGCAGTGTGTTCTCCCTACCCCAAAAATCACTATCCTTTTTGTTCAAGATTCCAGTCACACTCCAGTCTCAACTCCTTCGCCCCCTCTTTTCTCAGGCATATTCCACATTTTCTTTTCCAAAAATCTCTATATATTCTATGACTATGGAGTCTGACTTTCTTTAAATGGAGAATTTGTACCTCTGTTTAAGCTGGTTTCTGCACTGATCAGGATTTTTCCTGATGTGCAAAATGATGTTCCTGTTCTCTTATTTTAAACACTAAAGTCCTTATCCCAAGTTCCTAGATGTCTTCATTCTCCAGCATTCCGTAGTTTGTTCTCCACTCCCCACTTTGCACCAGATAACAGAGTTCAGCACCATGGCTTTGCCACATATTTCAGAGCTAATGCATGATGAGGACAAGGCAATGATATCCAGTGCAGCACACATATGAATTTTATGTAACAATTGTGGACATTTGCTGGATAGTGGCAAGCACAGGTTTAGTACCAGAGGTGAGAAGCTGTTAAGGGCTAAACCATCCCCTAACACGATGTATTTTCCAATAGCTAAAATCCAGTAGTAAGTCACAACTAAAAGCAAAAAAAGCAAAGCGTGCTGCTTATATACCCCCCCAAAGCCCCACAAGCACTCTCTGGGCGGTTTACAAGTTAATCATGCAGGCTACACATTGCCCCCCCCCCCAGCGAGCTGGGTACTCATTTTACCGACTTCAGAAGGATAGAAGGCTGAGTCAACCTTAAGCTGCTACCTGGGATTGAACCCCAGGTCGTGAGCACAGTTTTGGCTGCAGTACAGCAGTTTAACCACTGTGCCACTAGAGCAGATCCACTGAATAAATGGGGATTTAGTGAGTCAACTCCTCCATATGTTCCTTTGATTCAGTGGGCCTATTCTAGTCATTACTTATTAATAATTGGTATTGGACTCGATGGCCTTATAGGCCTCTTCCAACTTCATTATTCTATGACACTACTGAATTTCAGCCAGTAAATTACCAAGCAACAGAAAAATAAGTGAAACAAAGAGGTGCAAACGTTCTGTCTAGAAGACCCCTCTGTTTGTCCTTATTGGACTATTTTTGAGATTTTCTGCACCATTAAGGGTTTCAATTTTTTTCCACAAAGGTTTTGCAGGCCTTGTGATTGCCTTCTCTCTCTCTCTCTCTTTCAGTCTCTCTCTCTCTCTCTCTCTCTGGCTCTATTTTGGACACAGTGCGAGTGGTGTACACCATTTGAATTAGTTATTTGACTATTTAGGACTGCAGTTTAAGGCAAAAGGAAAAGAAGTAGGCACTTTGCTTACATAACTTTCCTACCATCTGATCATTTGGAGAATGGGACCTTGCATGTAGACTAGGGAAGGTCATTCCCTTTTAAAAATGCAACATGGTTTAAAATTCTCACCTTTTCCTCATCCTCTCTCAGCTAGAGCCAAAATACAGTAACGGGATAATCGGAAATACTTAAGAATCAGCCCCAGCAATCAGCTGTCAGCAGGGAAGAAATGAACTGTAGCAGTGAGATTTTTTAAAAAATTTTTTTCTTCCTGCCAGTTTATTCAGTTTATGGCAAGGTTGGATTCACTGAATAATAATTCTGTGCAGTTTCCCCACCCTACCCTTGAGTGCTACCACAAACTACCTGCAATGTCATTTTGACAATTCATATGTCATTTCTGTGAAAGAGGATGAATAATTGATTGAGCTTTTAATCTAGCAATAAGACAATCAAGCATCTCTGATTTTTTTTCAAATTATGATGAAAAACTTTGCAGAATTAAGATGTAAAGAGCACCATCTAATGAGAGGAATATTATCCTGCTTCAGCTAAGATCGTTCCTAGTTCAATAAGAACAGCACATGTAAAAAAGATGCTGGATACATCTCCTACAGCAGTGAGCTGCAGTTTAATCCTGGCTTTGGCCACGTCATCTTTTGAACTCTTTTTGTGAGATAGGTGGGCTTGGAATCACTCCTCCCACTCCTCCTTTTCTTAGATATGCAAAACTTTGGAAGACATTCTGCCCAAGGTTACAGGCGCACAGTAGCCAATTGTTTGTACATCGGAGACCCTGTGTGGTGTAGTGGTTTTATTGCTGGACTAGGATTCAGGTCATGAAACTCACTTGATAAGACTGGGCCAGTCTCTCAGACTGACCTATCTCATAGGGTGGTTTTTGAGAATACAGAGGGGAGCAGGAAATGAAAAGTGAGACAGATACAGTATATAACCAGTAGGAGTAAATCTGCACAGATTTAGATTGGTAAATGGGAGCCAGTTCTGGTATTCTCATGTGCAAAGGGGAAATCCTCCATAAAGAGGGGATCTAAAGCCAGAGAGATCCTCTCTACTAAAGTGGTATGAAATCAGAGTCTGCACTGGGACTCTGATTAAGGAAAGGAGCCCCAAGGTTTTCTGCATTCTGGCATAGTGTCAGTGCCAGGAGGAGGAGGATGCCACATTTTCTGAATTCATATATTAATCCTAAAATCAAAGCTTGTTACTTTTAAGAAGAGTGAATATAATGACATGCTAAGGCAATCCAGACCTAAGCGGTGCTCTAGAGAAATGGTCTTCACATTATGAAAGGCATCACCATGTCATTATAATCCTCTTTTTTTGAAAAGTAACTTTCCAAACTCTGCTAAAAAAAAAAAACCTCAGTTGAGCCATGCAGTTTACAGTATAGTTTCCATTTAGATGAAAGAACTCCATGCATACTCTGGCATTGTTCACTTTGCCACACTACAGCATTCCCTCATTTTGAAGCCGTTCCCCAAATTTTCCCCTTTTACAAAACACATCACTTCAAAGACACAAGTGTCTTTATCCATACCGCTTGCTATATGCAGCTGGTTGTATTTCAGGCAACATGCCTACCACCCTGCAATTTGCATGTGTGATTTGAATTATATAGAATTCAGTACTATAGAGGAATGAAAACGTGGAACAGGTGCTAAAATTAATTAATTAATTTATTATTTTATTGAAGATAATGACAAGTCAGTTCCACATTGCACTGATGTCATGTACTTTGTATTGATTTAATGGTTCCATATCATATTTTAAAGGACTGGTGGTTTTCTTTTCAGATCGATAGAAGAATTTAAAGAGGTCAGCTATGCAGTTTGTCATGTGATGTGATTCCACTATTACAAGTGTTGGCTTGCATTTCCTCTGTCTCTTCCCCTCTCATTTTATATCCTCCTCTCAGCACATGCATTTTCCAGCATAAGGATTAGCTCATCGGAGTCTTGTATTTTAACCACAGATATTATGTACAGTTCCAGTGGTAGAGTTTACGCTCCGATTTCATTTGGTGCTGTCTGAACTGCTTACAAGACATTAAGTGCAAAGAGGCTAGGCCACATCCAGTTTCTACAGACTGCTGACTCCAGCACCCTTGCTAAAGATCTAATGGTATATGTGTATTGCACATGGGTTCTCCTCCCACCTTTTCGGAGTTGCTCCTTTTATGAAATGGCTTTTTGAAGACAAATTATTTCTTTGACAGGTACATTGTCAATGGAGCTCTTATCTTATGTCTGGCTCTTGCGTTGTTAACTGGTCACTTAAAAATATAACAAGGAATGTGTCCTCATTCCACATAGCCCACATGTTGGGAAGCAAACTCTAGGCTTCCTGTATAGCATGAAGGGTACTTGTTAATACAGAGACAAGTCTATAGAAGTTCACAGTTACGACATTCTCCTGCTAGGCTAAGCTTTCCACAAACTTTCTACACAGTAAACAAGGGTAGTTGAGTACCCTTGCTGTGAATTATTTTTACACTATGAAAGGAAATATATTTCAGACTTGTGTGTTATGCGCTGTCAAGTCAGAACTGAATTATAGTGACATTAATAGGGCTTGCAAAGCAACTGAGATATTTAAAGGGCAGTTTTACCTGTTCCATTCCCCACCCCACATGAGTTTCCATGGCTGAACAGAGCTTCTAACCCAGGTCCCTGAGTCTTAGTTTATCATTCTATCCATTACACCACAGAGTTCCTCCAGTCTTATAAAAGGTTAAAATTACTCCATCATAAGAATGAGAAAAATGTCTTGGTAGCACATTTGAGCTACACTTCTATGGAGATACAAAATCTTTAATAAAAGAATCAAAGGGCTAGGTCCAGTTAGCCTGAATTAGAATGGACTCAGTTCCTTAAAAAGATTTATGACCAATTCAATAGATTTACTGTAACTGGAAACAACTAACCATCAGATTCACACCAAGAACTTTACATATCTTGTGATTTTTGGGATGGTCTGAGTTTACACAATAGACACTACACTTTTTATAATTTCTAAGATATTCTGTACTAATATTGTTATTGTTGTTTACTGTACTTCCTAGTAGCTGTCACTTTTTATACAGAGACTTTAAATATGTGTGTGGGTCCCAAATACTTTCCTAATGAGCAAGTAATATGTAGTTGGATGCCTTACAGCCAGCACTAACCATAATTGGGAGATTAAGATTATCTCAACACTGTTATGGCAATATGTGTTTTAATTTTGAAAATTTATCATCTGTTTGCCTAAGTGTACATTTCCCCTGTTCTTTAAGATGCTCTTGGGAAAACGGGGAAGACAAAGTAGAAATCCTTTGACTAAGAGAAACTTATTTGAAAGATTGTAAAATATTAATGGCGTGGCATGCCTCACAAGTAACTAACACAGCTGTTATGTATTATCTCAATGAATGTGTCAAAAAATTAACAGCACACTACATCTTAATAATTCAAGACTGCCTTTACAAGTGAAACCTCTGCCCACCAAATGTTCTTTTTAGCAGGAAGCTTGATGTATAGAAAAGCATAAAATAACCTCCAAGGCATGATAGGATTGTCCGGTTGAGTTGCGATTTCATTAATATTTCCAAAACAAAGTTCTTCATTAGACATTTCTGGGCTATATGCCACTCCATGTTTGCAAATGCATTCCTCTGTAAAGCACTATACTTCAATGACATACTTAATATTTTTCAAAAAGAAAAGAAAATAACATGCACATATACGTACCAAGATTAAAGTCCTCAAGAGACTGCTAAGTGCAATAATTAAAGGAGACTTTTGCCTGTAAAAGCCCTTTCCTGTGGTTTATCTCAGTGCAGTTGGAAGGGATATTTCAGCACCATATAGACAGGTTTGCAGATCAGCTCAATGTTATTTCCCCCCCCCCCTTCCTTTCTTCAATTAAAGTGCTTGAGATCTTCTTGGCAAAGATATCCAGTCTGTAGTATTCTGCATCTCTTGAAGTCAGTATGTTGCACTCAGAAAGAGAAATCTTCTCCGCACAGGATTAAAAATAACCTTTTAAAGTTTGTGTGTCAAAATGCAAGGGTGGTGGGAAAGACGAGATCTGGCATCTTCAATCCACATGGAAAGAACACGGGTGAAGGTATCAAGGGGGCACCAATGGCACTCTGCTTTGAAGTCCAAGGGCAAAGAAATGGGAGGGCTGGTTTGCCCACTTCACCACACAGAAGAACACGGCACCAACGTATGCAATGAGAGAGAGGTGGCTAAGGTGCCTCATTGGAGTGGATACTGTGGAGACCCAAAGAAAGAAAAAGCAGGGATAGAAAACATCCTATTCAAATGGCCTCTTGCAACAAAAAAGATTAAGATGCTTCCAGTCTCTCTCTCTCTCTTTCCCTTTCTTTCATTGCCACCTCTACACCGAAGGTTGAAACGGTCTCTCTCTCACTCCCTCTCTGTGCCTACAGCAGGCTGCCGCTGCCTCTCTCTTTCTCTCTCTTTCTCTCCCTCCCTCTCTGTTGATGCTGTTGCTGATTAATCAGGGATTCTCAAACAAAGAGCAGCCTACCTTCGGCTATGAGCAGTAATCTGGGGCTCCTCTTTTTCTGCAATCCGCTTGCTTTCAGCAGCCAAGCAGCCAGCATTCTAGCACCTTGGACAGTTCCCCGTCGGCTTTCCTTAGGCCCATTGGCGAGACACAGAGGCGCGCGCACACAAAAGCAGCAGCAAGGAGGCGAAGGAGCAAGTGAAGAAATGACAAGAGATCGGGAAGCAGCCACAGCAGCAGCAGCAGCAGCAGCCCTCGACTTCAGCCTGCTGTCCCCAGGGGCGCAGCTTCATTAAAGCCTCCTATCTAGGCAACAGATTCTTTCTCTCTCTCTCTCTCTCTCTCTCTCTCTCTCTCTCTCTCTGGTATCCTCGGCTGCACTGAAGTCTGATTAGCAAAATAATCCTGTGTCTGTGTATTTGTGTATAGGAGAGTGGAATCGGAGAGAATTCAGGCTCACAAGGTAGGAAAGGAAAGGAAGCAGCATTGTTCCATTCTTCTCTCTCCCACCACCCCTAAAAACGGGTTCCTCTACAGAGAATGGGGCAGTTAACCTTTAGCCCGTGTTATGGCTCCAGGAAATGAGCAGCCACTTAGAGGGAGCATCTGAGTCTCCGTTTGAGACCTCCTATTGATGTACCGCTTGCACTCACCCTCGCTGTAAAAAAAATAAAAGGCGTGCAGGGGCTCACAATTACTGCTGACGCAGATCAGCTTGCTGCTGCTGCTTGGGGGAAAGGTAGGAGGAGCTTTTTAACCTCATCAAAACAACCTCCAACCACCTGCTCCCACTGGAGGAGCGCAGACCTCCCCTACTTAGACATGAATATCCATCTAATAATGAGCAGCAGTGATGCATCAGGCAAAGGCATCACTCGACAGCAGGACTAGCTAAAAAACACAGCCGTACCATTTTATGCCATGCTGCAAACTTCACCTCTTTATGGCAGCATTTCCTTTTGGTTTCTAATTCACCAAACAGGAGGGGACCTGCCATTCTTTTTGCCCAAGGGAGCAAAGTAATATCACCTATTTACCATAAAGTGACTGGTCTCAATCCAGATGCCAATCACAGGCAGAGTAGAACTTTTACCTAAGTATCACTGAATCAGCAGCAATTACATGAAGGTTGACATCATTCAGCAGTTGATTCAGTGGGTCCCCTCCAGTTTGGACCAGCTATCGCATTTGACCCTCTGCATTTAAGATTGTGTGATCCACAATACAATGCACTGTTGTAAATATGTCACTTGAGCAAGCTCTTATGAGGACCTCAGCAAATTAATCAAGCCATGGTATTTAAAAGGAATATAAAAAGAGTTCAACCCTGAATCGTTCATTCAACCCAGCTAATGCAACCTGGAGGGGAATCCTCAGGAACAAATATAGTGGTGAAAAAGAAATCAAGAGCAAAAGCCGTGCACTGAGATTTCCCAAAATAAATATTTAAGATAGGGCAAATGTAACTGTATACGATACAGCACTCTCTCAGGAGCTGTGACAACATATAGCAATTCAGAAATAAGTGCAGGGAGCTCATAGAGTCCTCAGCCTGATCCAGTTGATGGCCCTACCAATGCGCAGAGTGAAGGAGTAACATCTGGTAGTGGATGTGGGATGACAGCAAATTGTTAGTAGCATGCTTTATTATTTTAATTTACTTTGCCAGAAATTGGGGAGGTGCTCATACAATGTTCTGCTTCATGTTCCAAAACAATTTGGATGGCTTACGTACCACACATCTTAAACTGGGGGAGGCTGTGTATGTGTCATTTCCTGCTCTGCCTCAGGTAGAAACATGTCTTGGGCTACCACTGGGGATTATATATATGCACAATCTGACATACATTTCTACAGGTATAACAGGATGTCAACAGTTGTCTTTGTTCAAAGCTGTTGCTAATTTCTGGATCTAGCCAAGCAAGAAGGACTGTATCTAACTGGTTGTTCAGATTAGGAAGTTGTGATTTGGACTTAATCTATTCCATCTGGTTCATTCCTCCAAGCAATTGATGAACATTTTCCAGATCATTTGAAAGGCTTTTTCATATACGTGGAGTATGTCAACATTTTATGTTTCTTAAAAACAAAATAAAAATAAAATCTCCTGATCCCAGTGGATTATCCCTGACAGCCATGTTTTGGGATGAAGAGAAGTTTTTTTATCTCATTTGTTTATGTTTTTTACTTTTGATTTTTGAATCTTATCAGTGTTTTTTGACACTAAAGCCAGTTTATGCCAATAAAAAAAAAAAAAAAAGGATTATACACTTCTACTACTACTATGTCTCATTCCAACCTCGTCTTCAAATCTCTTTGACCAGTTCTTCTCTTTCCAGACCCTCTCTTCCCACTTCTTTAACTTAGAATGATAAACTGTAACAATCTGTACTTTTTCTTTCTGGTTGCTTATTATTATATTCCAATTGTCTGCACTTTTCTGCATTTCTCAGAATTTATTCATTCACTTTAGTACTTCTTCACTGGGCACATGCTCAGTCCAAGAAACCACATTTCAACCACAAATTGAAACCTCATTTCAAATTACTCTGTCATTTTTTTAAATTTTAGCTGCTTAGAGTGGTCATATCGACCAGATAGGCGGTGTATAAATAAAATAAAATAAAATAAAATATAAAATAAATAAATAAATAAATAAATAAATAAATAAATAGATA